TGGAAAAAAGCCCATTCTTTGGTCTCTAAATTTATTTGGGGAGGGAAACGGCCACGTGTGAAGTTAACAACACTTCAACAACATAAAACAGAGGGTGGTCTTTCCGTGCCTAACTTTAAATATTATTTTTGGTCATTTGTATTGAGACCACTCACAGATTGGCTTAACCCCAAGTCTGATCTCTGTTGGAAACCTATAGAAAAGAACCTAGCATCCCCACACAGACTGGAGGATCTGATTTACTCCGTTGTCCTTTTGAAACGAGCTAAGCTGCGGCTTGGTCCCATAATGAGTTTCCTCTTATCAACATGGGTTATTGCTGAGAAGGAATCTAAGAGTACATGTAAATGGCACCTGAATAGTCCACTCTTTAACAACTATTCCCTACTCACCGGGGGTCCCATTCTCATCCCCGGACTGGAGCTCTGGGGGTATCTATGTTTTAGCTGATGTATATAATGAGAACGGGCTTCGTGATTTGAATGATCTTAGACTGTCTTACCAATTGCCTGGAACATCTTTATTTCTGTACTTTCAACTACGATCATCTATGAAAGCATATGGAGTATCATGGAGTTCTCCTCTTACTACGCACCCTTTGCACTCCATTCTGTACAGTAGAGAACAAAAAAGAGGTTTGGTCTCCCGAATATATTCACTTATTTGGTCCTTGATTGTCTTTGCTTCTCAAAACCCAGACCATCAACAGATCCATTTCAATTATATCCACTGGACTTACCTCACGCCGAGGAGAAACTTTCTCATGAAACGTTTAACATATCCAATCTGCACCCTGTGCTCAGATAGACTAATAGGCTCATACAAGCATATGTGCTGGGAATGCAAGGACGTGAAGCTTTTCGCCACTAGGTCTTTTTTCCTTTTTTGTCTCTTCTTTTTTTTGATTGCAATATGCCTGTACTGTTGTCCGACTGCTGTTCTTGTTTACATTTAAAAACAATAAAAGGTTGTTCACAAAAAAATTATATTAAGAATTTTACAGGGAGCCAGTGCAGAGAAGCTAGTACAGGAGAGATATGATCTCTTTTCCTAGGTCCGGTCAGTATTTGTGCTGCAGCATTCTGAATTAATTGGAGCATCTTAATGGATTTATTGGGGCAACCTGACAATAATGAATTGCAGTAATCCAGGCTAGAAGTAACAAATGCACGGATTAGTTTTTCTGCATCTGCATGTGACAGGATCTGTAATTTTGCGTAAATGAAAAAAGGCTATATCTTTAGACAGAGAGTCTCTGAGGTGTTTGGGGCAAAGTACAAGAATTTATTTTTTTCTGAGTTTAGCATCAGAAAATTGCAGCTCATCCAGGTGTCCTTAAGATATGTTTGTAATAACTTAGGATAACTTATAAGCACCAAGATCTAAAAAGTGTATGCTAGTAATGTGGCTTAAAACTGGATAAAAAGTCAACTTATGACAGCTTCTGGCAGTCAGCCTCAACACAGACACATGCACAAAGGGGATTTGATGCCATTGACAGGCAACCGGTGAAACGTAGCATTACCTAAATAAAATTACATTATAGCTTCAAAGCCATCAAGATGTAGATGTTTGGACTGAGTGGTGTTCTATCAACTTTCTAACAGAATAAAGCCAACCACCTGCTCTGTTTTAAGTATGGCATTGCTGAACCCAAATGCATGATGTCACTATTGTCAAAGAAAGATGGCAGCTGAAATACCAAATTACACACACACACACACACACACACACACACACACACACACACACACACACACACACACACACACACACACGTACTTTACTTCCCTCTAGTGGACGCACCTGAGCTTGCTTCTCCAAACAAACCTGTGGAGTGACAAGAAAGGAACCGTTTTAGAAATCACAGTCAGCCCATTGGAAATTGGAGGGGTTTTTTTTACAGTCAGCAGTTGCCATTGTTTGTACAATGTAATTGTTTTCCTCCAGAAGGCCAAGAAATCTCAAGCAGTTCCTTGGTCTACCATTTATTTCATCATTGAGAAGACTTTAAATTCATCTAGAATGTATAGCAAAATGATCCCAATCATATAATAAATAAATAAATGAACAAAAATAATTAGTCTGAATTTGTGAGCTCTAAGCCTACACATTGGTCTGTCTTCTGAACTAAGTGACCTCGTTAACAAGATAGAGAGCACTCTAGGCACTAACCAGGGCAACACTATTGCCTACATTTCCTGGAACATTTCCTACAACTTATGGACTGATGTGTGTCATGAGGAGCTGTATTATACATTTCTTACATTGTTCTGTGCCTCATCTAGGGAGCTGAACAATGGGAAATTCACCACACATGTTGATTCAACAGCAACTATACATGCTCCATGGTCATCATATGAACACTGACACTATTGTGGAGACCTCAACAAGTACAACCAAGTCAGTGTTTTGTATAGACATACGGTCTTTACTAAGCCTGGTCCTAACAGTTAAGTTGGTCTTTGTCTGTAGAAGGGATTTTTAGTCGGTTGCACCAACCAAACTGAAGCTTAGTCCTCCTAACTACTTAATAACCTAACTCTTTCCAACTTGTAGCTAATAATTAGTAATTTGCAAAAACTTTATGGAGGATCACAGAAAAGGAAAAAGCAATTTGAAGGACATTGAGATAAGAAAATGAATAGAGCTCTACAGCCAGCACAAGACGCTGACTGCTACGACGGAGTGTTAGGACCAGACTAGAGATTCTCGTAATATTACGACTTTTTTCTCATAATATTACAACTTTTTTCTCGTAATGTTACGACTTTATTCTCGTAGACCTAATATTATGACTTTATTCTCGTAATTCCCCCCCCCCCCAAAAAAAAATTTTTTTCTCTTAGTCTGGCCCTAATACTCTGTCGTATTAGCTTACCTGTTGACTGTACAGTGCGACTGAGACAAATAGCAGCTGCTGGGCTCAGGCTGCTGTTTGGTTGAGCTGGTCACGTCGATCTTGATAACTCTATCGAAGCTTTTTTCTCATTAAAACAACTCTTTTTCTTGTATTATTACGCCTTCATTTTCGTAACATTACGTAACATTACGACTTTATTCTTGTAATATTACGACTTTATTTTATTATTATATTAAATTGTCAATATAATATAGTGACTAGACGTAAGATTTACACGGAACACCTAGACAAGGTGTAAGCCATGTTGGTATAAAAGTTGTTAATGAAAACTGTTCATTGTTTACATTCACACCCAAAGTTGGGCAGAGATATTACTGTTTTGTAGATTTTAAATGTTATGTTTCACTGCTTTGAGCACTGAAAGCTAAAAAAAAAATGTCTCCATTGTACTGGGGTAATGGTTAAAGTCTCAACAGCAGATGACCTATAACCCAGCGTTTTGCCAATAATGTGGTAATTATATCATGCCAATTACAATTGGCAATGACAATTGATTCAATTTCACTTGAAAATATCTGCTTTTGTCACCTAAGTATGCACCACATATCTGGAATGAACTCTCAGCAAACTGCAGGTCTGCTGCAAATCTTGTTCTGTTTGCGCTTATGAAATCAAATCTGAGGCTTACATTGCACAGTAACTTTTACTGCCAAAAAACTTCCTTTTATGAGACAGAAACCTCGGACAGACCTGAGAATAATTGCATTATATTGCTTTTCAGTATTGTCTTGATGCCTTTTATGTTTAATTTAAACACTTTAAAATTGCCTTGTTGTTGAACTGTGCTATGCAAATAAAATATAACTGGCTGCGGTCCCTAAGCTGTGATAACACAACTCAACAACCAGAAAAAAGCAGCAGCAAAAATAAAGTCACAATAATGTTGTAGTAAAGTATACTTTGGACTCTGCACAGGCACCTCACTTCATCAATATCACTGACTCATGTATGTATGCACGTGTTCTGTTTTATATTTCCAACATAAACTCTTCAATTATCATTTTATTATTATTCTACATTATTATGGTTGTTATCATTATTATAGTCATATTTCTATCTGTTTCTCTTTTAGAATTGAGATGCTTTATGAAACATTCTTGGTAGTTACAGGCAGCGCTACTGGGTTTTTTTCATGATGGAATCAAACTTTCCCCTTAACACAATGTCTACTTTGTAAATATATCCAGAGATGGCAATTAGGCATGTAGACATGGTCAAGACATGCTGAAGTTTAAACCAAGCTTGAGAATGGGGAAGAAAGGTGATTTAAGTGACTTTGACTATGGCATGGTTGTTGGTGCCAGAGGGCTGTTCTAAGTATTTCAGAAACTGCTGATCTACTGGGATTTTCACATACAACCATCTCTATGGTTTACAGAAATGGTCAGAAAAAGAGAAAATATCCTGTGAGCGGCAGTTCTCTGGCTTGAGATGATAGAAAGGCAACAGTAACTCAAAACCACTCGTTACAACTAAGGTATGCAGAAGACCATCTGACCGCACAACACGTCGAACCTTGAAGCTGATGGGCTACAGCAGCAGAAGACCAAACCGGGTGCCGCTCCTGTCAGCTAAGAACAGGAAACTGAGGCTACAGTTTGCACAGGTTCACCAAAGTTGGACAATAGAAGATTTGAAAAACGTTGCCTGGTCTGATGAGTCTCAATTTCTGCTGTGACATTCAGATGGTAGGGTCAGAATGTGGTGTAAACAACATAAAAGCATGGATCCATCCTGCCTTGTATGTTAGTATCAATTGAGCATTGTTTAAAGTAGTATTAGTATTGTTGCTGACCATGTCAATCCCTTTATGACCAAAGTGTACCCATCTTCTGATGGCTACTTTCAGGAGGAATGTTTCCAGCACCTTGTTGAATCCATGCCACGAAGAATTAAGGCAGTTCTGAAGGCTAAAGGGGGTCCAACCTGGTACTAGCAAGGCGTACCTATTAAAGTGGTCGGTAAGTGTATGATTGATAAAGAGACTGACTTTTTGTATTTTACTTAATGTAATATAGTTGTTTTAGGTTAAATTCAATAAAGTCACACACTAAAAAATAACAATGACACGAGAAAATTGACTTATAAAAGTTTATTAACAGACAGACAACACTGGTGGCTGCATGAATACATATAGACATAAATTACTTTGTATAATTGTTGCATTGATTCTTATTTCTAAAAAGAATGTGTCCATCTTCCCGGTTAATTGATTGTGTGCTATTTGACATCAGATTTTTTAATAGTAAAGTTGAAATGGCATCTTGGTTTTGTTCCACTTTAATAATTAATTGACAATCTTCAAGGATAATAGAGGCCACTTGCAAAACAAAAAACCTTTTTTCCTGTTCACATTCATACTTATCCAGTGTTCATGTATGTTGATTCTCTATGCCACAAGCAAAACAGAGACTGTTCAGATGAAGATGATATTTCTACTGTCTCTCTTCATATGCTCTTCACTTCTTTTGGGCCAGTGACATGCTGAAAAACAATGAACACTTCATTAACCAGCACAATGAAGATCATTTATTATGTTCTTGTTACTGTAACCAAGAGGCGTTTTGTGTAAATCTACTTAAAGGCCCAATCTAGAGCCCATGTCTATGTCCATGTAAAAACACAGCGGTTCAACATGGCAGACTAAATATATAGTATTTAATATATAGTGGGAGATTACTAACAAAAACAAAGTCTTTCAATAAACTTGTCAAGTTGCAGAAAGGACTCCCATATACAACTTCTGTAATTGTAAATGGTAATCGGGAGTAATTTGGGGTTCAGTATCTTATCAAGGACACTTCGACATGTAGCTGAAAGGAGCCAGAGATCAAATCTACAACCTTCCGATTAGTGGACGAGGCGCTCTACCTCTAAGCCACAGCTGCCTGAATTGTGACCCTTTCCATCTCCTGTGCACTGTGTGTGTGTGTGTGTGTGTGTGTGTGTGTGTGTGTGTGTGTGTGTATATATGAGTGGGAAAAAGTGTGTGCAGACCTACTTGTTAAAAAAAGACTGGTCTTGTAGGTTCAGGACCAAACTGTCAGCATTAAGGTACACCTTGTTCTGCGATGATGCCACCTGGAAGCAGACACAAGAGCCGTCATCATAACCATCACTGATTCTGGGACAAATTACTTTTTAGCTGCTCATTCTGGGATCCTGTGACACCCAGAATCTCAAATCACAGCATATAAACAACGATACTGACCGTCTTTGCAATGTTCTGTGCTGCTCTGATTCGCCTCAGCTTCAGGTACCCTGGGTTCTTAGTCACTGCTAGGCCCAGCTGACACACACACATACACACAGTTAACATTAAGTCACTATATTGCCATACATACAGCATGACCAGATGTACCGAATATAATGCAATGACAGTCCATCACCATTTTGGCAGCTTCAGCCTCTCCTTCAGCCTGGATAATCTTCTGTCTCTGATCCTGTTTGGCTTTCTCCACATAGAACTGGGCTCTCTGGGCCTCTTGCTGGGCTACAAACAAAAAAACGCACATCACACATCACACACACACACACACACACACACTCTACTATGTATACAGATCTTGAATTTTTGAAGACGTCTTCAAAAACAAAACAAAATTAAAGCTGCAAGCAGCGTTTGGCGGGACCTCGCACTCCGTGCAACTCGGGGCGCGCTGCGGCCGCATCGTGTGCTGTCGTAACACGTATGGACCACAACATGAAAATCTCCCGTTAATCAGCTCAAAATCGCCACGCAGCGCTTACTTCCTGTTGCCAGTAGGTGGCGCTATCACTTTGTCTGAATATTGTCATGTACACGTGTTCAGGGCGGGACTGTTATCAAGCATTTGAAGTGTGGAGCCAATTGGACAATGTACACTCAAGTTATAGCGAATACGTGTTTTGTGGCGGTCCATCAAAATTTCCCGCCACCCCACAGACACGCCCCCTCACCACAGTCAACACATATCAATGTGTTTTGCATTTTATAAGTAAATTTCAGCTGAATCTGATCATCCTGCGAGGAGTAGAACATGAAAGTATAAAACGTGAAACTTCCTGTTACCAGTATGTGGCACTATCACTATGTCTGAATATTGTCATGTAGACGTGTTCAGGGTGGGACTGTACACTGAAGATATGAGTACTATCTGTTTGATGGCCAATCGGTGGAATTCGACACGTCATCACGGGCACACGGTTAAACATACAGTCACAAATAGCACAACTTTTGATAACCAATGTGTGTAGATTGAAGTGATCGAATTTAAAGTCAATCTGATAAAATCTGTAGGAGGTGTTAGTTAAAACAGAAGCCCTTAAATGCCGGAAACAGCATCACAGTTTGACATTCGATTCAACCTGGCCAACTTTGAGGGAACGCCATGGACACGCCCTTTAACGTACAGTGACAAATAGCACAACTTTTAATCAGCACCATTTTTTGACTGTACTGACTAATTTTGAAGCAGATCTGATAAATTCTCTAGGAGGAGGTCGCTCAAATACAACGCAAAAAAACGCTGAAAATCATTGCAAAATGCCGGAAATGGCATCACAGTTTGACATTTGATTCAACCTGGCCAACTTTGAGGGCACGCCACGGACACGCCCTTTAATGTACATGCACAAATAGCACAACTTTTAATCAGAACCTTTTTTTGACTGTTCTTACACATTTTGAAGCAGATCCGATAAATTCCCTAGGAGGAGGTTGTTCAAATACAACGCGAAAAATTCACCGAAAATGCGCACGGAATTCACTATGGCCAACTTTGAGGGCACGCCACGGACACGCCCTTTAACGTACATGCACAAATAGCACAACTTTTAATCAGAACCTTTTTTTGACTGTTCTTACACATTTTGAAGCAGATCCGATAAATTCCCTAGAAGGAGTTTGTTCAAATACAATGCGAAAAGTTCGCTGAAAGTGAAAATGAAAATCAAAATTGCCGACTTCCTGTGGGGTTTCAGGTATGGGTCCAAGAGGCTTTTTTGTACGTCTCGGCATGTTACACGTGCCTACCGAGTTTCGTAACAATCTGTGAAACGTGGCGCCGGGGCTGCTGTTTTTTTTATCCTGTAGGGGGTGCTACAAGCACGATTTTTGGTATGTGAGCTGCAGGCACCAGTCTACACGTGCCCTGTGAATTTCATATTCATTACTATTACGGTCTCCGCACAGTGATTTACCATGCCACCAGACCACCACCTAGTGGCGGATTGTTGACACATTTTTTAGTGAGCCTCAGGGAGCCATGGGGAAGCATCGTACCAAGTTTCATCTTAATCACACATACTGTTGTAGAGATATAAACTTCTTCATTTTAAAGAGCGCCACCTTGTGGTTATGGCCTGAAATTGTGCACGATGCCTAAGGAAGACATGTGAAACTACGGACCCAAGTTTGGTGTCAATCGGACATACCAATGTGGAGAAATGGTCCACTTCCTTTTGACGAAAAATCCACAGGACGTGCTAATTTTATAATGTGCTGTTTTTTTGAAATATTCAAAACTTTTAATCACTTTTTTATTATGAGGGTGATCAGATCAGATGCTACTTGAAAATTTTGTGCGAATCGGACAAAGCGCATGGGGGGAACACGGAAAAGTTTGCGCTCTAGCAGAGAAAGATTATAGGCAGAAGTGGGCGTGGCCTATATGGGGAGATTCAGCTCCATTCACCCAACACATGGATATGAGTTTTTTGAATGTGCGACAAACTATGCAGAAGTTATTAGCCTAAACGCATTTTTTGATAGTAGCGCCACCTAGTGGCCAACCCGAAAGCGACGCATAGAATATCCCCATTTTTCACAATGCTCCTTAGAAAAATCACTAGAACGTTTAGCAGTTGTTTGCACCTAGCGCACACAATGGTCTTGCACTCACAAACACACACACACACACACACACACACACACACACACACACACACACACACACACACAAACACAAACACAAACACACAATCAAACACTGTGAGGTCCCTCTTGTATCTCTAGGAATTATCAGGGACCAAGCCAGTGTAAAAAAAAAAAAAAAAGTTGTCATAACATCTGCGTACTAGGGGTGTAACGATTCACCAAATACACGGTTCATACCGCGGTTTTCCCCGTTTCCCTATTTGCAGAGAAACAGAGAGAGAGAGATGTTATCTGAGATTACATTAAGCGGATACGGCAGAAATCTTACATTACGGAGCGTCAGTGAACGCACCACTGCAGATGTCACTCACTAACGTTAGTTTCGGTTTGGACACACATGCGGCGCACTTGAAAACTGAATCACGGGTGAGTTTATGAAACGTACTGTTGATGGAGAAAGTCATTAGAGACACACACAGGGAGAGAGAGACAGAAAGAGGCGGAGCAAGCGGGCGTGTTTGCTGTGAGTGACCAGAGGTCCAGGCTAGGTGTGTGTGCTGTGTTTAAGTGTGGGGAGAAGAGAAAGGGAGCAGATTAAAGTAGTAAATAAACACTAAAATAAGGTGGAAAATGACCTAGAATAACCTACTGTACACCGCTACCACCCCACGGGCCGCCGCCACCGCCGCAGTTACACTGTCTTAACGAGAGCTCAACAGTCCAGGGAGCGAGTGTGTCGCGATTTCGGTCTCGGTTACATAATGAAGACATAAGGAACTATTGACCCAAGGTTGGTGTAAATCGAACATGCCAATGTGGAGAAATACCCCACTTCCTTTTTTGACGAAAAATCAACAGGAAGTGCTAATTTTATAACTTCCTTATTTTTTGAAATATCAAAATACTTTAAATTGTGTGCGAATCGGACAAAAGCGCATGGATGGATCACGAAAACGTAGTTTTTGGACATTTTGCGCTGTAGCGGAAAAAAAATCTAGGCGAAAGTGGGCGTGGCCTATATAGGGAGATTCAGCTCCATTCACCGAACGCGTGGATATAAGGTTTTTGAATGTTAGACAAACGATGCGGGAGTTATTAGCCTAAACATACTTTTCTTAATAGTAGTGCCACCTAGTGGTCTTCCCCAAAGCATTTCAACATTTTCACCAGGCCTGACAAATTTGCCAAACAAAACTCACATGAAGTATACGTTCAGGGGGTCAAAAACGCCGTCAACGTTCTGAATAATAATAATAAGAAACGGACCAATTACAATAGGGACCTTCCAGCGGTCGCTGGCTCTGTCCCTAAATATACAATTGTTCAAATCACACAAAAATCACACAGAAAAATAAAGTACTTTCAAAAAATAAATTGATAAAGATAAGAGAAAGAGAAAGCTGTGCAGAAGAACGTGGGTGCATTAATGTAATGCATACTTTATATACAGGGTGGGTATAAGATCCGACTGTAACGAAACTTCACGTTTGATAAGAGTCCCGCCCTGAACACGTCTATGTAATAATATTATAATAATAGTGAGAGTGCCACCTAGTGGCAACAGGAAGTATAACGTTTTATACTTTCATGTTCTACTCCTAGCAGGATGATCAGTTCCATTTGAAATGTACTTATGAAATGCAAAACACGTTGTTGATGATATGTGATGAATGTGGTGAGTGGGCGTGTCTGTGGCGTGGCGTTGCGTCAAATTTTAGTTTGCTATAACTTGAGTGTACATTGTCCATTCGGCTCCAAACTTAACTTGTCTGATGAGAGTCCCTCCCTGAACTCATGTATGTGATGATATTCACTAATAGTGAGAGCACCACCTAGTGGTGGAATTTATTACACTTTAATGTATTTTCTCCCAGCAGATTGAATACATCTAGCTGAAATTTGGTCAGAAGAGCCTTAGAATGTTGACAATGACATCTCACGAATCTTATGAATTTTTATTGAACTGTGTTGCCGTAGCGTGGCTGTTCTGAATCAGAGAAGCCAGTCTACTATTTTTGAGCCTCCGCCACATAGGCGCTGAATTTCAACGGTTCGCAGTGAAAAGTCTTGCTATGACGTAAGTCTTTTGCATGGGGGTCTTATACGCGTGACGACATAGAGCGGTCTCCCTCAGCTTACGTGATGAGGACATGGGCGTGGGGTGAAGTGGCGCAGCTGCGGCGGGCAACCGCCGTGCAGGCCCTGACATAGGTTGATGGCGAGGTCCCGCCCAATGCTGCTCTCAGCTTTAATTTCATAATACTTTCATCAAATATTGTCAGTATCAGTCTGTGATAATCATTGATTTATATGATTTATATGCAATTAGCATAATTCTCAAATGTTCACATTGAAGCTCAACAGAAAATAGTCTGAGATTAATGGGGCTGTTGAGCAACAAAATAAACATGTTAGTCCACATAAGCTATTGTGCTGTGTGTGTTACACTGAGCCTCACCAACTTGCTTGGCCTCAACAGCAGCAGTGTACTGGCTGCTGAAGCTCAGCTCAGTAATTGATACATCATCAAGAATGATGTTGAAGTCTTTGGCTCTCTCAAACAGCTCCCTGCGCACCAGCAATGACACCTAGACAACAATAAAGAGAAACAATAATCAACAGTGGACTGACAATATGACACAATATGGACTGGACTGAGGTCAGTAAGGCAGTGGTTGGTAGTTTCATTATATTAATTTAACTGGGATAAGGTAGTGTACAGAAATGGTAGACATTGTCTTAGTGACAACAGTACCTGCGCTCTCTGTGTGATGAGCTGTGAGGCGTTAAACTTTGCCACCACAGACTTGAGGACTTCGTTGACAATGGAGGGCAGGACTCTCTCGTCATAGTCCTTCCCCAGCTGTTGGTACATGACGGGCAGGTTGGACGCTAGAGGTCTGGACAACACTCGCACTGCTATGTTCACCATCTGTAGATCTACACACACACACACACACACACACACACACACACACACACACACACACACACACACACACACACACACACACAGCTCATAAGCATATTAATTACTTTCTCTGACAACTGAAGCTACAGATAATGGGGTTACATTCTTGTTTTAAAATGTTTTGTCTTCTGACGGCACATGGTATGTTTAACTCTCCAGATATTAAACCCTGTTTTTTGGGAAGAAAGGAAGGGAAGAGCAAAGAGTGGGACAACACAGAGAGGTGCAATACCCTCCTTCTGCATTCTTTTCTAAACACCCTTGTGATATCTCAGCTCAGTGCTAAATGTGAGTGAGGTCAACTAAACTACTCTTGAACCAGACCCTGAGATCCCTTTCTCTGCGGCTCTCCAGCGTAATCAGCACTTGGGTTATAATTAGGATGTGCACACCTTTTCATTCATTGACTGTGTGTACACGCAAGTGACAAAGTTGCCCACCACAGTCCTGTATTCACTCTCATCACCCTTTTCAATACAACCAACTATTGCTGAGTCATTAGAACTTCTTCTGTTTTACACCAACAGTTGCTGGTGCAATGATGTGACAGTGGTCCAACAGCACTGCTCTCCTAATCTGGGCTATTTCGTCATAAACTGTAAACCTTTTTACTCCCCCACGTGAGTTCGTTTCATTCTGGTCAAAGTGCAGGAGGCACAGCGCATGCTTGCCGACCAGATACTGTGTGTTGAGCGGACTAACCCGGACTCCTTAGTTATTGTCCTTGGTGAGGGGACTACAGCCACAAACTCCCCAAATATAGACAGTTTATTAAATGGCCGACCAGAGAGGAGAACATAATGGATCACTGTTGGTGCTATCCATTTGTCGCGAGGATGTGATGTAATTGCCTGGCTTGTACCACTTATAGCGTTCCAGTTGTCTTTGGGCATTACGAGTCGGAAAGAAGTGCAGCAGCTGTGTTGTTATTGGTTGAGGCTCATCTAAACAAGCTCAATGTGAAATAATAATATGTTTTTCTACAGAAACACTCACATTTCAAGCAATTCCGTTATTGCAGGTCTTACATTTCAATAATATTTTGCCATTTTCGCCTATTTCAATTTCAACAAGTGCTATGGCGTTTGTCCCGAGCCACCAGGGGCCACCAGGGGCCTCCAGGGGCAGGCTAGTGTTATTGTTAGCTACATTAGCCTATTTAGCAAACCAGCTCGAAAACAAAACTTTACATTGTATTGCACGCACAGCAACACCGTGCAATGCATAAATTGGTGACCGGACTAAAGCAGCAATGTAAACAAGTGTGTAGGAGCATTTAGAATCGACAAACGACCAACGTAGAACAAATACAAAGAAAATACACCTCAATATGGGCGCTGCCATCTTTGTTTTGCGGGTCGTACGTTTGTCCTCGTTTAGCTCGGTGTACTGTGAGGTACCCCAAGCTGGACGGCTGAAATTATGACCAAAAGGGGGTGTGTCTCGGTGAAATATCATGAGATAGCTGCGAGATTTACACTTTCCAACTTGGGCTGGGGGTTTACGAAACAAATGGATAGCACCTTTACACTACAGTCAGCAGAGCTTATCACACCGTCGCCCGTGCCGCACTGGGTCTCTCTGACCACATCATGGTCCACCTGATTCCTACATACAGGCAGAAATTAAAACTCTATAAACCTGTTGTGAGGACATCAAAACCGTTGACCAGTGAAGCTGTGGAGGATCTTCAGTCTCTACTGACTGGGATGTTTTCAGGACTGCTACCAACAGTCTGGATGAGTACACAGAGGTTGTGATGTCATACATTAGCTTCTGTGAGGACTGCTGTGTACCATCATGCACCAGGGTGAGTTATAACAATGACAAACCTCACAGCCAAACTCATTCAGTTACGGTTGCAGAAGGAGCAAGCGTTCAGGAGCGGGGACAGGGACAGGTTTAAGGAGTCAAAGTAATAGTTTAGCAAGGTAGTGAGACAAGCTAAACAACAGTACTCTGAGAAACTCAAACATCAGTTCTCAGCCAATGACTCTGGTTCTGTCTGGAAGGGGCTCAGACAGATAACCAACTAAAAACCTAAAACCCCCCCCTCCATCAACGACTTGCGGCTATCGTTGCCATGGCGCCGCCACGAGTGGCAGCCCTTTCAGCAGCTCCTAGTGTGCAGTGATCTTTTTTTGACTTTTTATTATTTTTATTGATGTTTGTTTTTGCTTTTTTATATTCACATTTGTGCCTTGTCACATCTGATCAACTTCTATCAAATAGATATGGATATTTATTTACCCAAACTCGTTTATTCGAGAAAACAACTTGTCACGCTGAAGACAAAGTCCTAGGCCGGTGTGGTTCCCCAGTTACCTGACGAGGTGAGGAGACACTATCGTGGCTGCAGAGCTGGCGCAAAGCTAAAGGCCAAGCGAATGGCGAAGAAGTGGCGATATAAACCCTCTGTACCATCGGTGATCATGGGAAATGTCAACTCACTACAGAACAAGATCGACGAACTGGCTGCGCTGGTGAAAAACGTTAAAATCTACAGGGAGAGCAGTTTGCTGTGCTTCACTGAAACGTGGCTAACGGCTAACGTCCCGGACATTAACGTTGAGCTACCCGGCTTCAACACAGGTTGGACAGAGACACTAATGCCTGTGGGAAGCGGAAAGGAGGTGGACTAGCTGTATACGTGAACACAAGGTGGTGTAACCCTGGACATGTGAACATCAAGATTTCCATCTGCAACAGGGACGTTGAGCTGCTTGCCGTAGGGTTGCGACCCTTCTACTTGCCCAGAGAGTTTGGACACGCCATTGTTGTTATTGTTTATATTCCACCACGTGCTGACGCGGTAGTCGCGTGTGACGTCATCCACTCCGCTGTAGCAGGACTACAAACACAGCACCCCGAGGCTCTGGTGTTAATCTCTGGGGACTTTAATCACATGACTCTGGACACAACACTACCTGCTTTCTTCCAGTATGTTGACTGTTACACCAGGGGAAATAAGACTATTGACCTACTGTATGCAAACGTTAAGGACGCATACAGCACCACCCCTCTGCCTGCACTGGGGAAAGCTGATCACAACCTGATTCTGCTTCAGCCTCAGTATAAACCAAGAGTGAAGAGACAACCCACAACAATGCGCTCATTCAGGAAGTGGTCTTTTGAGGCAGAGCAGGCTCTAAGAGACAGTTTTGGTAGTACGGACTGGGATGTACTGCAGGGTTCGCACTGTGAGGACATCGAGGAGGCTGTTGACTGTACTACTGACTACATCAACTTCTGTATGGATGTTGTTGTTCCTGTAAGAACTATGCGCTGCTATGCCAACAACAAGCCCTGGATTACAAATCATGTCAAGGGCCGTCTTAACCAGAAGAAGAGGGCCTTTAAAGATGGAGATCAGCAGGAGTTTAGACGCGTACAGAGGGAACTCAGAGTCCAGCTCAGGGAAGCAAAGGAGCAGTACAGAAGGAAGCTGGAGCAGAAACTGCAGAACAACAGCATTAAAAGAGGTGTGGGATGGGATGAAGATCATCACCGGCTGCAGCTCAAAGCGGGGGGCCCACATGGAGGGAGATACAGAAAGAGCAAACCTGATGAACCAATTCTTCAGCAGGTTCGACCACCCCATCCCGTTAACACCTCAGGTCACCATACCCCCTTCTGCTGCTGTCTCTCTCTCGCTCCCCTCAGGAGCCACAGAGGAGCTGGTTGTCCCACCCACTATTACAGCAGCCCAGCAAAGCAGCAGGTCCAGATGGAATATCCCCTCGACTTCTGAAGGCCTGTGCGTTGGAGCTGGGACTCCCCCTACAGCACATCTTCAACCTGAGCTTGGAACAGGGGAGGGTCCCTAGACAGTGGAAGACATCCTGCATCATCCCAATCCCAAAGAGACCACACCCTGGTGAGCTAAATGACTTCAGACCGGTCGCCCTGACATCACATGTGATGAAGACCATGGAACGGCTGCTGCTACACCACCTGAGGCCACAGGTCCGCCACGCCCTTGACCCACTGCAGTTTGCCTATCAGGAGAAGGTGGGAGTAGAGGATGCCATTGTGTACCTGATGCACAGATCCCTTTCTCACCTGGATAGGGGAAACGGTGCTGTGAGAATTACATTTCTGGACTTTTCCAGCGCCTTCAATACCATCCAGCCTCGACTTCTGCAATACAAACTAGCAGACATGGGAGTAGACTCACATCTGGTGGCATGGATAATGGACTACCTAACAGACAGACCCCAGTATGTGCGACTGAGGGACTGCAGGTCTGACATTGTGGTCGGTAGCACAGGAGCGCCGCAAGGGACCGTGCTCTCTCCGGTCCTGTTCACCCTGTACACGTCAGACTTCAAATATAACTCAGAGTCCTGTCACGTGCAAAAGTTCGCAGACGCCACAGCTATTGTGGGCTGTATCAGGAATGACCAGGAGGAGGAGTACAGGAAACTCATTCAGGACTTTGTCACATGGTGTGACTCCAACCACCTGCGCCTCAACACCACCAAGACCAAGGAGATGGTGGTGGACCTCAGAAGGCCCAGGGCCCACCCGGAACCTATGACCATCAACGGTGACTGTGTGGAGTTGGTACAGACATACAGGTACCTGGGAGTACACCTGGATGATAGGCTGGACTGGACTGCCAACACAGACGCCCTGTGCAGAAGAGGTCAGAGCCGATTATACTCCCTCAGAAGGTTGGCGTCCTTCAACATCTGCAAAAAACTGCTGCAGATATTCTATCAGACTGTTGTGGCGAGTGCCCTCTTCTATGCAGTAGTGTGCTGGGGAGGCAGCATTAAGAAGAAGGATGCCTCCCGTCTGGACAAACTGGTGAGGAAGGCGGGCTCTGTGTTGGGCACAGGGCTGGACAGACTGACATCTGTGGCAGAGCAAAGGGCGCTGAACAGGCTCCTGTCAATCATGGACAATCCACTGCATCCACTGCACAGCACCATCTACAGGCAGAGGAGCAGCTTCAGCGACAGGCTGCTGTCACTGTCCTGTTCCACTGAAAGACTGAGGAGATCGTTCCTCCCCCACGCCATCAGGCTCTTCAACTCCACCCAGGGGAGGAAAACTCTAAACTCCAATATGTCTGCCCTTTAGTTAACTATACCACCTGACGCAGTGCACCCTGCATTATGTGACCACTGACTGACTGACACTACTTACGCACCTTAGGCCTTTCAAGCACTGGATTTGACCATGCACCTTAGGACACTAGCCCCATGCTCGTTATTTAGCAATTTATTCTACTTTATTCTATTACTTCTTCTAAATTGACCTCCTCTTGTTGTTGTTATTATTATTATTATTATCAGTTTGTGGATACTGCTGGAAACGGTGAATTTCCCCTTGGGGATGAATAAAGTATCTATCTATCTATCTATCTATCTATCTAAATGAGCTGAATGAGTTCTACTGTTGCTTCGACGGACAAAGGAGCAGTCTTGACACCATCCCCCGTGACATCCCTCACCAGCCCCACCTCACCAGTTCCCCCTCCCCCAGCTCAGCAGGAGCCGGGGCCACTTCACAACTCCACATGTGAATGTGAATGTGAATCCCTCCTCCTCCACCACAGTGACGACTCTCTGCCTTCAGGAGAAGGACGTCAGCAGGCTTTTTTTTTTTAAAGTATATTTATTTTTATTAAAAAACTTTTATTGCCTTTATTATAGTGACAGCTGAAGACAGACAGGAAAGGGGGGCAGAGAGAGAGGGGATGACACACAGCAAAGGGCCGCAGGTCGGTTTCGAAGCATGGGCCTCTGCGGCAAGGACTCAGCCTCGGTACATGGGTCGCCAGCTCTACCCACTGAGCTATCTGGGCGCCCCGTCAAAAGGCTTTTTAAGAGGCAGAACCCCTGCAAAGCAGCCTGACCAGACTCTCTCTCCATCCACCCTGAAGCACTGTGCTGACCAGCTGTCTCTGGTGTTCACTGACCTCTTCAATTCACTGGAGACATGTCATGTGCCAGCCTGCTTCAAAGCATCCACCATCATCCCTGTCCCCAAAAAACCATGGACCACAGGACTCAATGACTACAGACCAGTTGCCCTCACCTCTGTGGTCATGAAGTCCTTTGAACGCCTTGTGCTCTCCCACCTCAAAGCCATTACAGACCCACTCCTAAGGCTGGGCAATTTTATAGATCCTGCGATATATATCGATATTTTGTTTCCCCAGAAAACATAGATTTTTCAGCCGCGAGTATCGATACATTAAGTCCCATTTAAATTCCCCGTGTTCCGCCTGGCACTCTGCTCGCTGCCCATTTCCCCCCGTTCGCTTTACAGGAAGAGCGTTTAGGTCAGCCAGCGGCTAGTGTCGCTGTAGAGCATTTCTAGCAAGTTACCCGTCTAGATACTCCCTTTACACAGACGCCGACGTCTTCCTCTTCCTGTTTACGCAGTCAGAGCGAGGAGATTCAAGAGAATGGCGGCAAATATAAATCCAGCACCTTCATGCTTAAAAGCAGATGTGTGGGAGCACTTCAGGTTTAAAAAGGAGGAGGAAAGCGACGATTTAGATAAAAGTGTGGCGGTTTGCAAGCTGTGTCACACAAACGTGAAATACTCTGGAAATACCACCAACCTACAAGCCCACCTAAAACATGGTTTATTTTTACTTTCCTGGTGGCTAGACTGGCTACCTCACATACTTGTAGGCCTACAGGCCTCAAACTACTCGGCTAAGACGGGTAGATTTTAAGTTAAATGTTTAGTGTTGTTCTTAGTGACTTGAATTATTGGCTGTTTTGGAGAAGCCATGGTACTATTTTTACTTACCTGATGGCTAGACTGGCTACCTCATATGTGTCAAGCTAAAAAAGCTGTCAAAGAATCTGTTCAGAACAGGCCACTTGCTGCACTTTTTAACTCTCCATTGTTCATTGTAATACTGCACTTTATTTACTTTTCAAAGGCTTGTAAGCTACAGTTTGCACTGTTTCAATAAATGAAACTAATTTTCTCACCACATCATTGATTCATTTTGTCCAGCATTTGCAAGCTGTAGACTCTCTGTCCAGTCAGAGCCATATATTGTGCAATTGATGCTTTCAGTTTTCAGTTCAATTAATTCAATCCAAGTCAATGGAACACTCACAAAATGTCACCAAAATGATCTAAGTCGAATCGAATCATTGGCTGAATATCGTGATATATATACATCATATCGTGAGCTGAATATTGTGTATTGTATCGTGAGATTAGTGTATCGCTACAGCCTCTCATGTAGTGTAAAAGTGCTTTGAGTGGTCGGAAGACTAGAAAGGCGCTATACAAGTACAGGTCCATTTACCATTTACAGCTCTACCCACTCCTGGACCACCTGCTGGACCCCCTGCAGTTCGCCTACAGTGCCAACAGGTCTGTAGACGATGCAATAATCATGGCCCTGCACTTCACCCTCCAACATCTGGACTAGCTAACAGCTCTCCCAGCTCATTGTGCCTGACTCCATCTGCAGGTGGATCACAGGCTTCCAGGAAACAGCATGTGAAGCTGGGGAAAAATGTCTCTGCCTCTCAGACCATCAGCACCGGATCCCCCCCAAGGCTGTGGATGTAATTCCTGCGGTGTGTGTGTGTGTGTGTGTGTGTGTGTGTGTGTGTGTGTGTGTGTGTGTGTCCAGGGTTGGTTACCTTTGCTGCCTGTCAATGAGGAGATCTTCCTGGGTTTGGCTCGGATATCATATATGATAGGGTACTGGAACCATGGGATCCTACAATGCAGACACTAATGTCAAGGCATAGGCAGTACTTAAAAAAAAAAAAAAAAAGTGTCTTAAGTCTATTGGACTACTGAGGCTTAGGTCTTTGCACACCAAGTTTATATTTTAAGTGCGTTTTTTTCATCTGAATCCAATAAAATTTGTCACACATAGAAAACATGCACACTGTGTTTGATGCTTTATTATTCTATTTGTTGTAAAAACAGTACATTTACAATACTCGTCGTGCAATGAGGATGAATGAATGGGCATTCGCACTCCACACAACTGGGGGTGTGCTGCGGTCGCGTCACGTGCCGGCGTACCACAACATGAAAATTTCACGTAAATCAGATCAAAATCACCATGCAGCAGTTACTTCCTGTTGCCAGTAGGCGGTGCTATCACTATATCTGAATATTATCAGATAAATGCATTCAGGGCGGGACTCTTATCAGACAAGTGAAGTTTCGTTGAGATCGGATCATGCACGCAGAAGTTATGACAAATCCCTCTTTCATGGCGAGTCGTTGAAATGCCATGCCACGCCACAGACACGCCGTTCAACGGAATGTCGTAAATAGCACAACTTTTAATCGTGAATGTCTTAAGATGGCTGTGTCCAAATCTGAAGTCGATCCGATCAATCCGATCAATAGTTATAGCATCACCTAGTGGTGAAAGGAAATGTAATTTTTATACTTTTATGTATATCTTCCAGAAGATTGACCAGATCCAACTGAAATTCTGTCAGGGGTCCAGGTGACAAGGACGATGACATCTTATGAATCTTTTGAACACTTTTTGGAGGGCTAAACATGCCCGGAACCTCATGAAACTTTGCACAAAATTCAGTCATGGCGAAGGCTAAAGCAGTGGTTCCCAACCTTTTTTCCTTGAAGCCCCCCTTGCCTGTGTCCAAGACAAGTCAGGTCCCCCCAACCCCTACGCGCATACAAGCACTAAATAGGTAATAAATAGCTTTATGAATTTAAATGCGGACCAAAAATATGTTTAAATTTGGATTATACAGAGTTTTGATTATCCAATTGGGTGTGTTATTGGGATTTTATAAATTTAATTTTTGTGAATAATAATTTTGGTAACCTCACAACCTCAGCAGACAAAGTTGTGCAGTGATCTCTGGCGCCCCCCTGGTTGGGAACCACTGGGCTAAAGTATTGTCTTGGTCCTGCAGATGGCCGTTGCATAATGGCTTAGCGCCCCCCAGAATCAGCCCCCAAGACACTAAGACCGACATGTACAAAAATTGGTACGCATGTGTATCATGATGGGACAAGCAAAAAAGCCTCTTGGACCCATAACCCAAACCCAACAGAGAGTAGGCCGTTGTGTATTTCGTGTTCATTTTTTTGCGCTGTATTTGAACGAACTCCTCCTAGGGAATCCGATCAATTTCAAAATTGGTCAGTACAGTCAAAAAACATTGCTGATTAAACATTGTGCTATTTTTGACAGTACGTTGAAAGGCGTGTCCGTGGCTTTCCGTCAAAGTCGACCATTTTGAATTCTGTGGTTATTTTTTCGGTGAATCTTTCACCTTGTATTTAAACAAACTCCTCCAAGGGAATTTATCGGATCAACTTCAAAATTGTTCAGTACACTCAAAAAACATTGCTGATTACAAGTTGTGCTATTTGTGACTGTACATATTGTACATACTCAAGAATATTGCACTACTTCCAATGAAGAAAGAAGACTTGAATTGAAAGACTTTAAACTGGCAAGAAAAAGTGTTTGCAAGTGGTCTAACCACCACAGGGTTGTGTGCTGAGTACTGACAAATATGGGCTGCCCAAAACTTTGCACGTCACAATGATGTTTTTATTTTTATGAATGGAGCTGAATCTTCCCATATATAATTTTTTTTGCTAGAGCGCGAAATGTTCATTAACTACTTTTTCATGTTCCTCCTGTTGTGTTTCAAGCGCCCCCTACAGGATAAAAAAACAGCAGCCCCGGCGCCACGTTTCACCGATATGTACGAAACTTGGTAGGCACGTGTAACATGCCGGGACGTACAAAAAAGCCTCTTGGACCCATACCCGAAACCCCACAGGAAGTCGGCCATTTTGATTTAAAGTTTCACTTTCGGCGAACTTTTTGCGTTGTATTTGAACAAACTCCTCCTAGCGAATTTATCGGATCTGCTTCAAAATTTGTGAGTACAGTCAAAAAATGGTTCTGATTAAAAGTTGTGCTATTTGTGCATGGACGTTAAAGGGCGTGTCCGTGGCGTGCCCTCAAAGTTGGCCATAGTGAATTCTGTGCCCATTTTCAGTGAATTTTTCGCGTTGTATTTGAACGAACTCCTCCTAGGGAATTTATCGGATATGCTTCAAAATTTGAGAGTACAGTCAAAAAATTGTGCTGATTAAAAGTTGTGCTATTTGTGCATGTACATTAAAGGGCGTGTCCGTGGCGTGGCATTAAAGTCAGTCATTTAGATTTTTTTTTCTCATTTTCTGTGATTTTTCGTGTTGTATTTGAACGAACTCCTCCTAGGGAATTTATCGGATCTGTTTCAAAATTGGTCAGTCCAGTCAAAATATTGGTCCTGATTAAAAGTTGTGCTATTTGAGACTGTACGTTGAAGTGGCGTGCCGTCAAAGTTGGCCATTTTGGATTCTGTGGTCATACAAACTAGATGAAAAGTTGAGCTATTTGTGACTGTACATCAAACCGCTAGCCAGTGACGACTCGTCGAATTCAGCCGATCCGCCATAAAACAGTACTCATAACTTCAGTGTGCAATGTCCAATCTCCAATAAACTTCACATATTCTGTAACAGTCCTAGCCTGAACACATCCTCACAACTTCAGTGTACATTATCTGATCTCAACAAAACTTCACGTGTTTGATAAGAGTCCCGCCTTGAACACGTCTACATGACAATATTCAGACATAGAAATAGCGCCACCTACAGGCAACAGGAAGTAAGCGCTGCATGGTGATTTTGAGCTGATTTACGTGAGATTTTCATGTCGTGGTCCGCACGTGTTGCGACGGCACTTGACGCAGCCGCAACACGCCCCGAGTTGCGTGGAGTGCGAGGTCCCGCTCAATGCTGCTTGCAGCTTTAATTAAATATTGTGTTTTAAGTCACCAAAATATATTATTTGTTAGGGGGTGCCCAAACTTTTGCATACAACTGTAGATCCTGGAACAAGTCAGTTAATAAATCTGCTGCTCCTACCTGAAATGCAGCCCCTCAGCCAGAATAGTGTCCATCTGCATCCCTCCAATCCTGTTGAAGATGATGGCTCTGTGACCACCCTCCACTGCTCACACAAACACAAAAAAGGTTATAACTCAGACCTCCATGACTTAACATGTGCTACCTTGTTATTGCAAATGGTACTTAAAGGCACATGATAACAAAAAGACAATAACAAACCGCAATGGAAATAATTTCCTTTTTTTAAAGTGCAGCAATGAAAAAAGGAGAGGGAGGGGATCACAGATTAAGCAGTTTTAAGTAGGTGGGTTCTGAAAGCCGGAAATGGGGGAGAATGTCTGAAGTACTGCGGGAGAGAGTTCCAGAGAGAGGCAGCAGCAATCTGGTTGTTGGACCAGGTTGGAAAAGTGAGGAGGTTGCATATAGGAGTAATGTGAACAATGTGGTATTCAAAGGAGAGGGACAGACGACAGAGTTGCATCTGGGATTTCTTTCTGTGAGGGAGCTTGTAAAGGTGGAATGAGGAGCAGCAGTAGTAATGGAATTAGTGGAGATGCCAAGACACCAGCCCCCTCTTGCCAGGACTCGTCTTTTCAAAGGCCTCCAGCGCTCCGCGGCCAAGTATAGAGTGCCCCTATTGGACTGTCACACCAACATCTAAAAACAACAAAAAGGAAAATCTTTGCGCCAGCAAAAGCCGACAGTGGCTTTTTGGGCCAGTGGCCAACGTTACGCTACACACAACCACCCATCACTGTCCCTCTCCAAAAGTTATTCCCTGCTATTTGTAATTTTGCCTTGATCGATACGAAAATAAAGAGCCTGAAGCTCCATGTGGGGCCGGGATGTGTTCACACGTTTTGTTCTAAGCGCTGTTGTTGTTTCACATGTAGTAGTTCCTTGCAAATGTTGTTAGGGGCACTTGGCCCCCTAATGTTTGGTGGGTACATTTTCACAGATTTCCTGCCATTGGCCAAAAGTTCATTTTGAACCTATCAATGGAGCTCTGATATCATGACTGACCCTGGCAACAGGTAAATAAAGAGCAGAGCTTCCATTGTCAATATGTTAACACTATGTTAAGTATTGTACTGTACAACTGTAGTATGTTTTTCAATTTTTAAATATATTTATTCAGCTGTAACCTGATGGGGGAAAAATGCAGATGGCAGCAACTGAAGATGAAAATGCGGATCAAACAGATAAGACAGTTTACTAGTGAACCTATGATTGTAGGTCGTAGTCCAACCAAGTCATTTTAAATTATTATTATTTATTATTATATGGCTTTTTTATGCCTTTATTTGAGAGCAACAGTTGAAGAGAGAAAGGAAATGGGGGAGTAAGAAAAGACGACATGCAGTATATGGCATGTCCCGGGCCGCTGAAGCAAGGACTCAGACATGGCACATACCAGGTGAGATACCAGGGCGCCACAGTCTGACCCAGTAATAATGATTGTGGTGATTTGCAGTTGAAAAGGTGTCTAGGTTCAAACGGCTCAACACAATTAAAGCTATTTAACACTAGTGATAATCCTAGAGGTCACAATAGCTAATTTTATACAGTGAGGTCAAGTCTCTAAAAATGGTCTCACTGCAATGAAATACTACTATTAGGACGAACATCATCACACATCAATACATTTGGACTTGTTCACTCCAGAAAAGTCTCAGTTTTCCAGTCATAGCCAGTTCAATTTTACACTGTTAATGGAACCTAGTAAGCGGGAATATTCAATCACACTAGGTAAAAATAACACATATACTGCATACAAAAGAACTGCATTGGCCATGTAGGTGCATGGACCATCTGGCTGCATCACACAGATACCCTGGTACAAATGTGTGTTTACCTGTGTAGGTGGCTTCTTTAATGCCATATGCCAAAGCACCAGCTCCGAGCAGCAGCTTCAGTCCTAATCCTGCCCCTCTGCCACCAGATGAAGACATTCGACCTGCCAGATCCCTTAGGTGCTGGACCAAGCGCTGAATGAAAAATAAGATTATAGTTATGTCCTTGCAGAAATGTGTGACTGATTAATCAATTGGAAAAACAATTATTTAAATTATACAATACAAATTATGACAAAACTATTAAAGACTATTTAACCTGATGGTTATATCTGCTCTTGTCCAGTCAAATAGAATATATCCCTATGAATGTCCTCCTAAGATTACTCAAGTTATTTCCAATACTCCCTATTCCAACACCTAAGCCAATATTCTGTACATTGGATCACTTGATATCTTGCTTCATTTGTGAAGGTAGAAGGCCCAGAATACAGCTCAAAACTCTCCGAGTTAGATGGGACACCCTGTGGCACCCACAGCAAAACATTACCAACAGAAATGGGCTCAGAGATGTCCCACTGTGAATTCATTTAAGTGTTTGAGGGCTCTATAGCAGATTTTAGAGCCCTTTCTGCACCCTTTAGTCCACAGACTAACAACTCATAATGCATTAGGGATAGATTGATTATCGGTTCCAATACTGATAATCTGAAAAAAGCTGAGTATCCTTATTTTTTTCGATTGCTGATAAAATCAATTAATTTTATAATGCCCTACTTTGGCTCTGATGCAGCCTCTCCCTCTCTCTCTGTAGTCAGCACACTGTAGTCTTGCTCAATGTCCTGACCACAGCATGACCTTAAGCGGACTGACGTTTATAGTCCCAAGATGTAGAACAAAGCACTATAAAAATAGCATTGTTCCCATTATTCAGATTAACAAATTGTAGTAACATGGCACACAGGTATTATTGTTTTTACTGACATTTACTTATTTATTCTAGTGTTCACTTGTTTTTATGTTTTTTAATTGATCACTCTTTAGAAGTCCTGATTTTGAGAGCCTGTCACTCTTACCTTTATATTTTAGTCAAGAGAAATGCCTTGTCGTTTGTTGCAAGCCAAATCTACCTATAAGTACAAATAAAGTAACCTTGAGTTATAGCCTATCAACACTCAAGGCTCGTGTGCCACAGAGGGAGAAATGGAAACACTCAACTAAAGTACAAGTACCTCAAAATTATATTTAAGTACACTACTTAAATAAATGTACTACCACAACTTTTTTTACAGCAATATAAATATATCATATACTATCAGTTCCAAATAGTGGTTAGAGGTTTCCTTTATTACTAATAATCAGCAACTGTATCGGGCCCTGAAAAACACATACTGGTCGACCCCTACAATGCAAAGCATGTTAAAACAGCAATTACAGTGGAATTTTTAACAAAAAAGAACAAAAATGTTATGAGTTGGTATTTTCCATTTAACTATAATCACATAAAACCACATTAGCCAGCACTATGTGTTTGTTTGTGTATATTCTGTAAAACAGTCGCTATTCTTCCTGGGGTCCACACAGTTTATATGGTGACACTACTATACAAATATACACACACTCACATTATTCATCAAAATACACTGACACAACACATCTTAATGCACATATACTGTAGATAAGACAATAACAATTAACGCACTCTATAGACAAAAACAAAAAAAACAAAAACATCAAAAAGACTGGCTCCGATTGAATTTCTCATAAATTAACAAAAATATCCTCACGATCTAACAGATATGTATCAACATTTCACTGGATTGACCTTGAGACCTTCTCACACCAAAGAGTACTTTTTTATTACTTAGTTTCCTTTTGAATTGTGCTCTTTAAGCACTTTTTTAAAACCATATATATTATTTTGTTGAATAATATAATTAGGAACTGAATTCCACTCTAGCCTTGCTCTGTATATTACTGTATGGTGAACTGATGTGGTTTTAAATTTTGGTAAAGCAAAACAACATGCAGCAGCATGCCTTGTTAAATAACTGTGTATCCGTGCAAAAGGATAGTCTTTTGTAGAACATAAATGGAGCATTTGTTGTGATGACATTCCTAATAAAAACCATCAGTGAATACATTAATCTTTATTTCACTTCAAGCCAAGAGATACATTCATGCATTCTAGCAATGTGGCTCAGAGGCAGAGCGGGTCGTTCCTTAATCGGAAGGTTGTGAGTTCGATCCCCGGCTCCTGGTGCCACATGTCGAAGTATCCTTGAGCAAGATACTGATGTATGAAAGGGTACGAAAGGGTAAGTGTAAAAGCACTTTGAGTGGTTGGTTGACTAGAAAGGTGCTATACAAGTACAGGTCCATTTACAAGAAAGAGCTATACATGCTGCTTTATTCTGAACCTAATGTATTTTCTGATATTACCCAGTGAAGTATGGGACCAAACTATATAACTACTATTAATCCAGGTTACTCAAAACCAAAGCTTGAGGTACTTGTTTGATAGTTTGTTGTATCAGATATCTTGCACATCTTTTAATTACAGACACAATATTTCCCATTTTACTTACTACTTTGTATATGTTTGTCCCATAATAATTTATTATCTATGATAACTCCTAAAAGTTTGGTATCTTCCACCTGCTTACTTAGTATGTCATCTATACAAGATCAAGCTTTGGTTTTGAACACAAAGAATAGTTTGTTCCTATTACAACACTGGTTGTTTTCGACACATTGAAAATAAGTTTATTACTGTTTATGCAATCTACTACTAGCTTTAAATCCAGATCTAGATTTGTCTTTAAATCACTTTTTGTTATTCCTTCTAAGTATATTATTGAGTCGACTGCATACATTGAAATACATGATTTTTTTTTAACTAAAGGAAGATCATTTGTAAAGTAAATTTTTATCCAGAAAAACCTTTTTCAACATTAATTTATCAAGGATATAAAAAACAGCAGAAAAATCAAGCAAAACTATTCAAATTTTTCTCTTTTTCTATTTCCACAAGCCAGTCATCAACCACTTCGGTCAAGGCAGTGGCTGTCGAATGTTTTTTCTCTATATGAATGTTGGAAATTAGTGATTCAATTATTATTAGAAAAATAAGACTGGATCTGCTCATACACAATTCTTTCCATTATCTTACTCAAAATTGGCAATAAACTTATGGGTCGACTATTGGATTCTGAAAACTGCAACTTATTTTTTGTTATCGGCACAACTTTGAAAATCTTCCATGCTTTTGGGCATACATTTTCACTGAAGCACTGATTAATAATATGTGTAACCATAGGGCAATCAATGAAGCTATAGGCCTTACAAAATTTGCTATCAAGATCGTCAACCGCAGGTGGTTTATTTTTAGATGTCATTAACATTAATTCAACTTTAGCAACACTAACTTCCTTGGACTCAAAGTTAATTTTTTGCCTTGCATAATACGATCTATTAATATATTTGATAAATCTCTTTGGCTGGATGGTACTTTTTAACTTTTCTATCTTGTTTATAAAAAAAAACTCTTCAGATGATTTGCTATGTCTATAGGTTTAGTATAAAATCCCCCTACAGTTTCTAAATAAGAGGTGGATTTAGTATTACCTCTCAACAGGTAGTTCAAAGTATTCAATAATTGTTTACTATCTTGTTTAATTTAATTTATTATATTATCAAAATACAATTTATTTTTCTTCTTATTTAATTTATTTACAAAATTCCTTAATTTGCAATATATTTGTCAATCTCATCTAAAACTAGATAAAATTGCTGTTAATTTGGCATGATCCCGTTCCATCGAACATTCTTTGAATTCCTTATCCAACCATGGGGTGTTAACATTCCTAACTGTAAACTTTTTTTAATGGTGCATGACGGTCTACAATTGTGGTTAACATTTCATTGAAAGTCTGAAATGTTCCTTCAGGGTTCTTTTCTAAGAACACCTTTCACCAGTTAAGCATTGCTAACATCTTCCTCATATCTGTCCTCATTAAAACCCTGAAATGATCTTTTCCTAATTACTTTTGGACCAGATTTAGGATCTTTTGTTTTCCTTACAATTGCAATGAGATAATGGTTACTACAACCTATCGGCACAGACATGGAGTTAAAGTAAAACTCTGGTGTATTTATAAAAATATGGTCAATACAAGTAGCTACCCGCGTGCCATCACTCTTTAAAGGACTCATATAATGCCCCTTTTCAGGTTCATAATTGTATTTTGTGGCTCTACTACAATAGCTTTAATGTTCAAAAAAAATATGTTCTCATACTGCCTAAAGCTAAGCACCTCTTTTCAACCTCTGTCTCAAACTGAGCTGGTGGTGGACTTCCGGCGCAAGAAGACCCCCTCTTCTTGCTGTTGCAATTAGGGGGGAGATGGTGGACACCTACGTGTTCCTGGGGGTGACACTTAATGGACCTGTACTTGTATAGCGCCTTTCTAGTCTTCCGACCACTCAAAGTGCTTTTACTACATGGCACATTCACCCTTTCACACACATTCACTCAGTGATGGCAAAGCCCATCGAACAGAAACTAACATTCACACACACCGATGCACGGGAGCAATTTGGGGTTTCAAGGATACTGTGGCACCAGGAGCCGGGGATCGAACCCACAACCTTCCGATTAGGGAACGACCCGCTCCACAGCCGCCCCCTTTTCTTTCCTGGTGTGTGCTGGTGAGTTGGGTGCCAACAAGCTGAGCAAGCTGGTGAGGAAGGACAGCTTTAAAAAGTATCCTATATTTTTTTCATAAATATAGGCTATAAAGTCCTGTTCAGTCCATTTTCCTCATGCAGTATATATTTTTTTTTATTTCTTACCACCTGACCTGTTGGGGGTCTTTCGCAGTTCACTCGTTAGGCATCTCCTCTCCTCTCTTTAACCTGCTGACAGTGTCGGTTTAATAGCTTGGTTGAGGGGTACTTTCATTCCCCTGAAATGCAGTACTCTGTCTTTCTTTGCGATTTGTAAAATAGCGTCTTTGGCCAAGTATCTCTGCATTCTGTGGATCAGAGGGCCCACTCTGTGCGCAATGTCCACTTCAGGCTGGCATGGAAGATTTCTATCTTAGACTTCCTCTTTAAAGAGCGATGCCATGAATTCTGTAGGATATCCCTTTTCCACATCTTTGTCGAGGCCAAATGCTCTGATATTACATTTACGGTTGAAATTTTCCAACCTTTCAGTTTTTTTCTCTCTCAGTTCTTTGTTTTCTTTTTGGAGAGTGTTACACACGTTCTACATTTCATTCACCCTCTCTTGCCTGCTAGAAAGCACCGGTTTGTCTTAAAAAGTCCTTCAGCCACACTTTTAAGCAATCCAGTTGAGGTTGCATTTTATCAAATGCATTATTTATTTACTCTCTTATTATTGAGTGGAGTAATGCCACTAACTCAAGCTGCTTTCCACACTCACTGTCGGCCTCCATTCCGGTTCTCCCACTTTTAACAGGTGAGGCAGTTGGCATCATCTTCATGATTTTTAAAGGCCGTAAGAAACCTCCAAAAATAAACACAGTAGGACTACATCTCAGCATTTGATGGCTTCTGTTAAGTAAATTATCAAACAAAACAATGGTCAATCATCAGGGACACGAAAACATTTAATCTGTCAAAGAAAAAAGTCTCTATATTTGTTTAAAAATCTTTTAAAATACATAATACAGACAGAGAATTGCATAAAAAAGTTCCCTAGACAGGAAATAATCTCCTTAAAATTCATCCAAATGACTCGTTTTACACAAACTTCCAGCAGTTATTAAGATTTCACAAAGTGCTGTCCCATTCATAACCAGAGCTGCCAACTCTCACGCTTTCGCCGTGTGACACACGCTTTTGCCTGTTTTCACACGCACTGACGCCACACATCCAATTTCTCACGCAAAAAAATCCAATCTTGGGCAGTTTTGGTCCCCTGCAGTTTTTACCGTCCAAAGACAATGTTACGCTATAGTAAACAGAGACTCGTCAAGCACTAGGACCAAGCGGAAAACGGCCGCTCAAGCTGAAGCCTAGTTAGTTAGTCCGCCCACAAGCTCCTCGATTGGCTCTGCGGTTTCCTATGTGATTGGCCGTCCCCGCTGTCACTCCATCTTGCTTGGTTGCTTGTTTCTAGTTGCCCAGGTAATATCAGAGGTTTCATTTCCATTCACGTTTGAGTCGGTGTCCATGTGCGTATGTGCGTGCGTGCGTGTCCAGAATGTGTTTTCTATATTTACATTAACATGCTTTATTGCTACCTGCTTTACAAGCAGTCAAACCAAAAAAGGGAACAGTAAACGTAAAACTAGCAGTAGAAAACTAGAAGAACTACTATTGGCTTGTGGGCGCCCGCCGGTTAGCTCAGTCGGCAAAGCTGGCGACCCATATACGGAGCCGCTGCAGCGGCGCGGGCTCATATCCGACCCGCTGCCCCCCGCCAACAATAGTTTTCTGGTTGAATCTATTTAATCCAAAATTCCCTGGGGTGGACCTTCAGCTATGTCTGCTTCTCAGAATGTAACCAATATTGTCCATCTCCAGTAGGCTGCCCCTATCAGCGGCTTTGGGCCTCCCCACAAACCACCAGAATGCAGGGTACAACATGGGTACAACATCAAATTAATTCCATCATTTTGGTCACCCCCGACAAAATCTCACTCCAAGGTTTTTTTGAAAAGTTGGCAGCTATGCATAACACAGACCTGACTGCTGGGGGGGCACTACAATCGGGACCTCATATCAGTATAGCATATTAATTAGCTAATAGCCATTAACAGATAAGTCAGGTCACTCAAGGCGTCATTGTCAATAACGACGGCCGGTTGTAAAGTTTAGTGATGCACGAGCTAGCAGAACAGTTCTATAATGCGACATGGTAACTGAGCCGACCTTTTAATACAGCTGCGTCATTCATTAGCGGACCATTGGTTACTTTAGTGGTAGATAAACATGTTACCGTGCCCACACTTACAACACCGTAACGACACTCCTTCATTTCAACGATTTAGCGTTTAAAACACTTACATTCGGCTCCTTGCTCGCCATGCTGCTCTACGTCAAACTCCAAGGTCGATAGCCCCATAACCCCTTCCTCGTGGACCGCAAAGTCTATTGGGAAATGTAGTCCCACAGCATGGCCCCATCTTTTCTCAGTACAATATAGTGATGGGAATTCCTGCTCATTTTAGTGAGCCAGATCATTTGGCCAAGCTTAGTAACAAGAGTGTTTCCGGTCCCAGACTGCTCTTTATTTAGCCAAATTTAGCAATGTTTTGAGCTATGGTTAATATGTGAGCACATATATGGATATAACTTATGGTATTATACTAAACCGTATTGAACCTTGTTATTAATTTACAGAATTTTCCTTTTTTTTCATTGTGTTTCATATAAATACCTTACATAATGTAAAATTATTGATTATAATTATAATTATTCTTATAATTGAAAAGTTTGACAACATTGAGTTGTTTTGTATGTTGGTGACAACAAAAACTTCACCATTCTAGGGTCTTAATGTTATATATATAGACAAGTAGTAATGATAAAATGTAGGAGTGTAAAGTAAACTGATTGTGCAATAATAGTGACAACGCTGAAGTTGGCTTCCGATTTGCAGCTTTCAAACCTAAAAAGGAGAGAATTGGAATGAAAAATGCACGGACAATAGGCTAATAAAATATGTGACACAGCTACAGTCAGTCATATTTTAGGGTATATGTACATCCACCACTTCTTTCTAAATTATATAAGGATCCCTTATTCTGTTGAGCCCTCAGTAATATCACAGATACTTATGGATCCATATAATTCAGAAAAAAGTAAAAACATAAGGAAATTATACAAGGACTTCAATTACAAAAGTGGGTGCTGGGAAAAGGAAGCTAATGTAGTAATACCAGAGGAAACTGATTTTTTCAGAGAAAATCTGATCAGTTTATTACCCTCTACCATAGATTTAGTGGGTCTTAGCACTCTTGCTGGAGAGAATGTGTATCAGTTTCAGTGGCTCATGCTCATTGTTTTCATTCATTGTCATTTGCTATTTGGAAAGGAGTGGGCCATTGTGGAGGAAATTACATTTCTCTTTTACTTTTTTGTTCCTTAAAAATATTCCTGAAGGTCTCAATAAAAGTGACAGATACCTTCTGATTTTCATGGCTGTAATGGAGAAAATAACTTTCATTCTTTGACTGCAAAAGAAGGGGGATCCATATTGGGGCAAAAAATAATTCTTATAATCATCTAGATTTATATTTTTCCTTTACTTTTTCGTCTGAATCTTTTATATGCATTGTGAACTGTACCTGCTTGTTCTTGTTTTTCTTTCTTGATTTCACTGATTTTGCAGTGCTAATGACTTCAAAATCCTCCTATTCACGTTCAAGGCCATCCACAACCTTTCCCCTCCTTATCTGTCCGAACTCTTCCACATCGCCACCCCTTCCCGTTCCCTCAGATCTGCCTCCTCTGTCCACCTCTGTGTCCCTCCCGCCCGCCTTGTCACCATGGGGAGCAGGGCTTTCAGCCGCTCTGCCCCCCCAACTCTGGAACTCACTCCCACCGGACCTCAGGAACCTGGACTCTCTCACACTCTTCAAATCAAGATTAAAAACTCACCTATTCAGAACTGCCTACCCCACTTAACCATCTACATTGTCTTTTCTTATCTGTTTCTTATTTCTTGCTGTTTTTTTTTTTTTTGAGTTGTACGGTGTCCTCGAGTGCCCAGAGAGGCGCCTCTAATAATTTAATGTATTATTATTATTATTATTAATGTCCCAAACCTCATCTGTTCTATGTTCATGCACAAGCTAAAATGAAAGGCATCTAAAAGAGAAGGGTTTTGAGGAATCATACATGATCGAGCCACACAGGTGCATGTAACTTTTGAAAGCAACCCAATAAAGACCACACAGACACACATCTTGTTATTACAACATTGGATGACTTTAATCCATAACTCCTGTCATATTAAAACACAAGTCTATTTTACACAGCTCAGTTAACAGCTAAGAAAAAACAACCAATGACATGAACACGGTGAATTACATTGAAAGTCAAAGTTAAAAATATAGCCAGGATGTACAGAGCAGAGCTGCGATAAAGACCTTAAGCAGCTGTTAACATTTGGGTATAGTTGGGATAAAACTGTAAGCTGTGAACTATTAAGAATAAATAAGATAAAAAGATAAAGAAATTATTTTAGTCTACACTGGCTGAAAATTTAATATTTTACCTCTGAAAGTAAAGTACAAGCAAAATAAAGAATGTAACAAAACCCCCTCCTGATTGCTGATGGATGTCCCTCAAACACAGTGCTTTTCAAAGATTTTGACAACATTGTGCAGGTTTTTCTTCCAAACAGCAAACAAACAAGAGGCGACCCAGTGACTCTTGTGGTGGACTGGAATAAAAAAAAAGGTGCTTGGTCCTCGGTCCTCCATCACACCTCACTGTTCTACACTAGTTAACACAGTCAGAAACCAGGAAAGGTTTAGTTGGCAAAAGCTGTGTCCCACTTCAGAGGATGCCTGCAAAGGTGTGTCCTTCAGAGGACTAAAGCTACATCAACAGTTCCAATACTTGGCCTCACAGAGACCACCATTAATAGTGCCTGCATCTAGGTAGTCCTCGTCAACTCATAAAACTGGAAATTTCAGAGTCGAATTGTTGGCCAACCAAGTAAATATGTCCAAATATATCCATTAACTGCCATTTTTCTGACAAACATTTTCTGACTTTACAAGTAGACAAAAACCGACCAGTGCAAAGGATTCTGGGATACTGAGGACTACAAGCAGTTCACCTGTTGTGTAGGGCTGCACAATATAGTAAAACAAATCAGACTGTGATGAATCTCAATTAGCGGGAATGATCATTTTTGCATCACAATTTTCATTTTCACTGAAAAAAACTATTAAAAACTGTTGTTGTTGCATTTGTTGGGGTCTGTACCAAACAAACGTGCTTACAATTGGATATGTTGGCCAGAGCATCTCTGCAGCATTATAGAACTTCATTATGATGCTGTTTGTAACACCTTTGACCTTTATTTTTTTTTTTATTGCAGCTTCTGTGATTTGGATATTGCACTTGACCATATTGGAATTTCAATAATATTTTGATAAATTGTGCAGCCTTATTTACCCATGATGATAAACTCTGTCAGGAAATGTGGACTTCACAGGAGGAAGACTCTGGGATGGGACACAGCTAGAGGAAATGTTACCTAGTGTTTTATGATAAAGACCCTTTGAACAAAACTCAGGACAGACACTGAGCTGCATCTTTCCTTGACACACAGCTCGTGTTTAAAACAGACAACATGGAGAGCAGTGTTTCCGAGTTGAGACAGAAAGGAGAAGATCAGATCAGACAGGTTACAAGTCTGGTATTCTGTTCCTGAGTAAATGCAACCTTGGAGTGGGAGAGGGCAGAATAATAAAAAAACAAAACATGAATTGTGTAATTTCAGAGTGGCTCCCTGGATGACTTGAGATCAATGGTAATGTATTTACAGTGGAACAGTCTGGAGGGTAAAATCAAAGAGAGATGATCTTGGAAAAGAGGAAACAACAGAGTGCTCACTCCCCTTCTTCCTCTCCCAAGGTCTAGAAGAAGTTTCCCGGTCAACACAAAACAAGAGAACAACCAAACACAAAGCTCTCGTCACTGAGTGTGGGACCACAGTTGGGTTTCACCCAAATGTGCTGATCCCAAGTCAGCAATGAGCGGTTTACTGCTGCAAATTGTAGCTAACCTTGGTAATTTATAGACCTTGGCAGGACGTCAGCATTTTGGAAGGTAGAGTCAGAGGTCAGACATAGAAAAGTCGTACCCTGGAGGTACTGACATGGAGGTCGTCATCGAAGAACTTGGTCTCTATGATCACATTACCACTGGAATACAAAGACACATGTAAACTATAACTGAGGTATCAAATCTCTGTCCATTCCTCTACTATCACTGCCACAAAAAGCACACATTCTGTACACTATATAACATTACCATGAATCACCGAATTCCTACTGTCGTGATCGCAAGAATCAACTTTCATCAGAAAATGTCAATTTGTCTCTTAATCCTGAAGTTAATTCTTGACAGTTATGATAACACCATAAAGAGTAGATTAAGAAATTTGCTGCATTAAAGCTGTGGGATGTAACTTCTAACAATAACCTTTCGTAATATTTTTTGAAACTTTCACTATATCTTGACAGTAGTACACAGGACAAACAATCACACGCACTGTATCTTGATTAGATTCAGTTCAAGGTTTTTTTTTATAAAAGTAAGGGCCTGTCCTCACGAATACGCGGCCTCACCCAATACGATGTTGTTTCGAAAAAAATCTCCATAAACACGGCGTCATTTCCAGAAATATCTGCGTCCACACGGATTCACTGACACGATCCAAAACGCTGTAGTACATATGCCAGGCCTGTATGTGGCGCTATGACGCCGCCACACCAATACACTAAAACCGGAAAAGAAGCCATGGAGCATGCGCTGTTTACAAACAAGTAGTGGTAGTCCGCCATTGTTGTTGTTGTTATGACGCGTCTAGCGGCGGCGCCTGAGGTTAAAGGCAAGAGAAGCGGGGCCAATCCATTATTGCCGTCCAGACGACTCTGGGCAATCCGGCTTTTTCGGATTTTCCCCCTCTGGGACCCTTTTTCAAAAAATACCATTTTCACACCCCCGAAAACGCCGTATCCATCTGGACGCGAGGCCGATACGATAAAGTATTTATCCGGATTTGAGAAAAACGTATTCGTGAGGACAGGCCCTAAATCACAGCTGTATAGGATTAAATAGCACAGATGATAAAGACGATGTACTGCATGTTTCAGCAACACGGAAACATAAAACAGCTAAATTAAAAAGAAAATCTGAGAGGAGACTCACGTTAAAACATTGGCTGGCATCATCTGGGACTCTGGAGCTGCTTCTATCAGAGACTGCCATGTATTGGTGGAGTTTGGGATAACAAAGCCAAACTCAAAGAACCATTCTGGATTGAGAAACACAGACAAAGAGCGCAGTGCTACCTTAACAACATACAATATCACTATTTGGATTCCTGGGTTTATACAGTGTGTTAGTGTACCATAATGGTGCAAGTACTGTTTCTGAGACGTTTCC